TCAACTAGTGGATTGCACATTCTGCCTTGATTTACTAACAAATCCAACCTGTAATCCAATGGCTGCTGCCTTGGTTCTAATTGGAATTTGTTTTCCTCTCCTTCTTATACTAAGTTGTTGCTGCAAATCACTCCAAACACTGCTCCGTCCATTAGGAGTAATTTGGAGACTCACGCGCCCCCTTTATACATGGGGGAGAAGAAGAGGGAGCAAGGCATTAAGCAAAGGACGAGACCTCCTAAAGGAAAATCAAACAAACATTAAGGAAAATGCACGAAAATTCAAGAAAGGAGCTCAAAAGAGGAGTAAGGAAATGAGGCAAGCGAGTCTTGCTCGACTAGCACGATATGGCATAATACCTGCTCTCCTCTTGTTCCTAGCCCATTTGATTATCGGAGAGCCAATTTCGATAATTTCACAAACAGAGAATTGTCGAGTACGAGAAGGTACTCGAATTTGCACGATTTTAAGCTCCACAACATTGAGCTTACTACCAGCAGGGCAACCAACCACTCTTCTAATCAAGGATAAAAGAGGAGACATTTTGGGAGCATTAATGCTCACCCTCAAAGCTCTAACGCTCAATTGCAATCCAAGGACACTCACATATTTGCGAAGCTACCGTATAAGTACCAGATCAGTATGGAGATGCCCCAGTGGCGGATCATGTTCTGGTAGCTTCTGTTCACAAGTAGGAGCAAACACACACATACCCGAACTAGTCGAGGTTATGGACAAGCCCGGGAGCAGTGGCTGTTTGGAATCCTCCGCTCTATGGAGTAAAGGATGCGGATTTCCAACTGCCAGCTGCTATTTCTACCGTTGGTATGCTATCCCTATGACTCTCGATGTTTTTGAACTTTTCGAGTGTCCTACTTGGGATTTTCACATAAAGACGACATTACAACTCACTGTTAATGACCAAATCGTAGAGGAGACAGTCACATTACATCCGGGATTAACCCATCATTGGGCCAACATATCACTTACACCAATTTCAGTGACGAACCCTCCAGCTCCGGTTTTGAGCACTCCATTCCTTACTCATGGATTTTCGGTTGCTCTAGGAGACGGAGTCCCAACAGACCTAAAATGTCAAGATAGGCCGAGTGCAGCCGGGTTTGGCTGCAATATTTCATCAAATACCTGTAAAGATTGCCGTCCTACACCCGACGGATCAATTACATGCCAGTGTAGAGAATTTGACGGGGAAGCAATTTTGGCAGACCCCGTAAAACGATTACCTCTAACTATTGGCCGACACACTTTTCTGACTGAAGACGACCAAGTATACGTCGAACAGTCATATACTCCTATACAGATCAATCTACAAATGAATAATTTCCAGTTAGTGACAGAAATAACCGAGTCCACTTGTCAGATAACAATAGATGACGTTAGTGGCTGTTATCGCTGTTTAACAGGAGTTCAAATCAAATATTCGTGCTCGACCGATTTTGGGTCGTCACTTGCCGACATCAGATGTGACGATGGTATTCATTTTATTGCTCGATGTTCCTTTAATGGAACTGAAGGAGCAGCACATTTTGCCTACAATAGATCAAAAATTGACACAGAGTGTCAAGTCAAGTGCCCAGGAGGAAATAGTCAATTACACATCAAAGGACAGCTCTTATTTATTCCAATACAGTGGAGGCAAGAGCGAATTGTCCAATCAAGTAAAGGTGAAAAATCCTCAGCATGGAATTTTAATCCATTAAGATTTCACCCGATTTCGCTTATAATGACAAGTTTACCGCTTCCATCTCCATTATATTTATTACTAATATCCACTTTAGTAATAATTGCAATTTATAGTATTCTGCGTTTTAAATTCGCAATTTGGAGAAAAATGAGCTCTCTGCTCATCACAAGTTTATTAATAAACAATTTTGCTGTCGAGGGGGAAGGGGCTTTGCGCCCATTATTAATTTTTGGCAATCATAGCCTTCCACCCCCATCCATTCACATTTATTCACAAATCGCGACCTACCCACCCTCAAAACAAAAAGAGAAAATTTGGAATGGGCACGAGCAAGCCAAACAGATGGCAAGCCAACTTAAAATGTTTGCCACTCACCCATTCGTTAAAAATAAATTGTCGAGCCATTCTTTGATTCAACTAACTTTTGGCTCTTTTCGTCTTTTGTTTATAAGAAAAAATTTATTTTCTTATACAAAAGAATGTGCAAAAACACTTAACTTAGTTTTGCACACCACCAAAAGCCATCAACACATTTCCATCTCTAAACTTTTGTCAAAGAAAGAAAAAATAAATTTTTTCTCTCCTTTTACAAAAGAGGGCACAGAAATAGCCAATCCACATATGTGTAGAAAAAATAGCGCTCACTGCTTTAATAGCAAAGCGTACAAAAAAGAAGAGTTTGGGCCAATGTTCACAACTCCGCCCAACTCAAGTTGTTTATCTACTTCCCCCAGAAAATGTTTTTTCATTCTCATTTCAACAAAAATATTTTTTAATAATTTAAATAAATTTAGGCTAATTTATTTTGCGATAATGCCGCTAGGCGATTTCTTTGCTGTTCCTCCTCGCAAACCAGGGGAAACCAGAGACGAATATCTGCAAGCTTGCCTTGCTAAAGGATATAATCCCACTCTTCCGGAGAAAGGTCAGAGTATGGCTGATTATATTCCGAAAGAGCTGGGACTGATATTTTTCGACTCCTTGTGTGGAAATGAAGCACGCCGTAGGGGAGAAGGCCTGCTTACGTTTTTTTGGGAAAAACTCAGATGCCATGGACTTCCTTTGCCTGATGAGGAACCATGTTTAAGCCGGGCAGCCAGGGAGGAGCTTGTTGAGCCAAATTTAACCGTGGCTCAATTTTTTCGAAATAAAGGAAGGGCCTTGACACACCCGGACCTCCCCTGCATTATCATTAAGGGGGGAATCCGTGGCTCGTCAAGAAAGAGCCGAAGACATGCTAGAGTTGTTGGACACCAGTGCTGGAAGGTGGGAGAGTCCCACAAGAGCTTCTTTCCGTTGGAGCAAATCATTTACGATCCGACTGAACCGGATCCAAGTTTTGGAGGAAATGCGGCCACGGGTTTCACCCCGCCAAGCTCACCGCCACCAGAATTACCACCAGGAGAAGGCCCATCAACTGAGGAGGAACACGCAAAAGAAAAAGAAAACAATGAGCTTAAAATTAGCTTTCCGCGAGGAGGACCCCCGATTCGCGCGCTCTCAATTTTGCTTTTTATCGCGGTTTTTACCGCTTCCGTGAATGAAAATCTCGCTTGTTGCATTAATTCACCCGATATTTCTCTCTCTCATTTTAATTATTTCTTGCCTATAGAAATGAAAAGAAATTCTTCTAACAACGGCAACAACAAAGCGGAAAAACGAGCAAAGGAAAATCTCTACCTAGAAGTTTTCGGGCCACCAACTTCAGCTGCTCAGCAGCAAGAAATGGAACAACATTTAAAAGAAATGAATGTTGAACAACTTTTAGAAATTGGAAATAAACCAGTTATGGCGGTGGCACCAGAAGAAATGGACAACTCTACCACCAGCACTTTATTAAAAGCAACATCGGAAATTATTAAAAATAAAGAAATTAATAAAATTAATTCTGCCTCTCAAGATGGAAAACAAATGGTAGAGAAACAACAAGAAAAGAAAGAATTGCCTGCGGCAACAGCTAAAGAAAATGCATTGGTTGTTTCTGTAGGTGAGGGAAAAATTGAATTGGGGGAGAGTAATAAAGGGAACATTTTAATGCCAGATCTCAAGGCTAAATTGGAGAAAGATCGCTTAAAACAAGAGAGGCAGAACCAGAAAAATCAAGCCCTCGTTGAAGCGTTCTTCTCTTTTGCGCAGAAGCTGACTGCTCAACAAACAGTGGTCAATGCGCCAGCAGCCACGGGGGGAGTTTGTGAAGGGACCGCCACTCACAAGGAAGCGGTCAACAAAATTGCGGTAACCACTCCCGCTCAAGCACAGTGGAAATGTTCTTCTTCATCTGGGCGCTCTAATGGTGGAGAAAGAGAAAAGAATTTAGGTGAGCAAGATCGGGTTGAGTCCATTGACCGTTATTCCCGTTCAGGTTCTGGGCGTTCACATTGGGGAGTTTCTGATCAACATACAGAAACTTTGCGAAAGGTCCGAACTACCACGGGTCAACTTTGCGGTCAGATTTCTGATGCAATTCACTCTGTGGAATCTGGGAGAGCCAAGTTGACGAATGAGGAAGAACATGACTTACTGGCTATCGATGGGGCTGCGAAGAGATTGATGAAATCGATACACATTGCATTTGGACATACACGTCGTTCTCGCTAAACATTTTTTTTGTTTTTTGCCGGGGGGAGTGTGCCCAAAAGGGCATAAGCCCTACACTATTTTCCCATTCCTCTCGCATTGTTATATTTACGTACTATTTTTATTTACCGCCCACAATTTATTTTGTTTAACCACGCCTACTTTTGGCTGTCAAGTTAGCGCTCGGCTGTCCCTAAAATCACTTCTTTCAATCTTCTTTCAATTTCCAACTTCTCTCAAAATCTTATAATTTTCTAATTCCTTTAAACCCAATCAATTAAACCAACTTTTCTCCCTTCAACTGGGAGCAGGAGAGCGGAGCACTAACTTAAATTATTTGTTCGCATTTTCACCACATATTTTAATCACCAATTTATTCACACCGCGGATCCCGAGCTGTTATCGGACCGCTAAATTTATTTGTTAATTAAATAAATCTTTTCTTCTTTGGTGTGTGTATTTTTGGGGATTTTGGGTAGGCTGTCGTCGTCATCATCGCTTATAAGTTTAAGAGAACTTTTGAGTTCTCTGTCCTCCCTTTATAAGCGTCCGTCCCTCCCATAGCCGGAGGCCGTACAAATTGTGTGTCCACCCGAAAGGGCTTTTGGGCACACTTTTTATTTTAATTGCACAAACAACGGCTTTGGTGTTGACTTTACGTTATTCCCGAACACAAATAGGGGAAGGACCCAAATATTTATCTTCTACAGCCGTTTTGATGGCAGAAATTGTTAAATTTATAACTTGTGTTTTTGTGTTATTTTTTCAAAATGATTGGAGTTTTGATCGATTATTGAGAGTTTTGAATGCTGATGTTTTTAATAGATTAAATGAAACGACTAAAATTGGTGTGCCTGCATTGCTTTATGTTGGTTAAGTTTTTTTTGAAATTTTTTGAAATGAATTTATTTTTTTATTAGTGTTGTTCCCCGGCGGGGGGGGGGGGGACGGGGAATTTTCATAAAAAATTTCTCAAATTCCCCGACTTTTGAGGACCGGGAGACTAGCGCTTTGCCGGAACCGCAAATTTGGTCGGAACGGGAACTGAAATTTTGACCGGATCCGGAACCGGAACTTCCGGCGAAGTTCTAACCGGAATGGAGAACAACCCTATTTTTTTTATTTTTCTAATTTTATCCAATTTTAATCTTAGTTTTGAATATTTTTTAATTTTTAGGTTATACAAAATAATTTATTATTTCTTTCACTTTCAAAATTAGATGCGGCAACATATCAAGTATTCTTTTAAAATTTTAAAAATATTTTTAAAAAAATTTAAAGGTCACTTATCAACTCAAAATCCTCACAACAGCCTTCTTTTCTGTTACATTGCTCAATAAAAAATTAAATATTTTAAAGTGGATTGCTTTACTTTTGTTAACTGGAGGGGTAGCTCTTGTACAGGTTTTTTTAGATTTTTTCGGAGGGGAGGGGGGGGGCAAGGGAGAAAATTTTTTTGGGCCGAATTTTTGGCTCGCCAAAAATTTTGATTTTTAGCACCGCCGGCGAAAATTTTTTGTTAATTTTGAAAGCTATGAAGCCAGATTTCCTCCTTTTTGAAAAATTTGGAAGCCAGTAGGACAAAAAATTCACTTCTTTGACCAATCCCCTCCCCAAATTTTTCCCTTTTTTCCATTTCGGGGGAGGGGGGGGGGGTTAGTAAATATTTGATCAAATCCTAAATTATTTTCTAAAATTCTTTTAATTTTATTCTTTTAAAGCTTCCAAAAAATTCTTCAAAACCCAATATTACTTACGACCACAATTCCAGCGACAGATTAATTGGACTTTTTGCAATTTTAGCCGCTTGTTTTTCTAGTGGATTTGCTGGGGTTTATTTGGAAAGAATTTTAAAAACTGCTTCGGTTTTTTTTTAATTTAAAAATTTTTATTTTTTTCAATTTTTAGGTTCAACTTTGGACTCAAAATTTGTTACTTTGTTTGCTTTTTATTTTTAAAAAAATAAATTTTTTTATTTTTTAAAGCTTTCTTCAGTATTTTTGGGGCTTTTGCAATGACTTGGATTTATGATTGGGAACAAGTAAAATTGTGGGGGTTTTTTCATGGATATAATACAACTATTTGGATTGTTGTAGCTTTACAGGTTTTCTAATTTTTTTGTATTTTCTGGGTTGTTTAAAAATTTAGAGTTAAGTAGAATTTTACAGGTTTTTTTTATTTTTGTTTGGACAGATAAATTTAAAATTTGAACTAAAAAATTTTTTTGTGGTAATATTAACGAATTTTCTTTTTTAGACTTAAAATAAAATTTTTCCCGGGAGATTTTTTTTAAATTTCCTTTTTTGGATTCCTCTTTTTTTTTAATTTTTTTTTCAATTTTTAGGCTTATGGAGGTCTAGTAATTGCTTTAGTAGTTAAATATGCGGATAATATACTCAAAGGATTTGCTGTTTCTTTATCTATTTTGTTGAGCAGTTTTATTTCTTGGGGGTTACTTAATGACTTTGAACCTTCGTTTACATTTGTTTTGGGTGCTTCGATTGTGATACTTTCTACTTTTCTTTATGGGTAATTTTAAATATTTTTTGTTTTTTTAATTTTATATATTTTAAACAAATTTCTTATTGAAAAATTGTCATTTAATTGAAGAAATTGATTTTTCATAATTTTTAATTTAAATTTTTTTCTTTTAATTTTATAAAAATATTTATTTTTTTTAAACAAAATTCCCTTTTCTCTCAAATATTTATTTATAGAAATTTATCTTTTCTGAAATATCTAATCCAAAATATTTTTTAATTTTAGTTTCGAACCTCAACGACAACAACATAAAATAATAACGCCCTCACCTTCAGAAATTAAATTACAAATAAGTAAAAGTTTAAATTAATTAATTTGTTAATAATTTAAATATTTTGTATTTTATTGTTTCAAAAAAGAAAATATTTTTAGAAATAATTATTGGAGCTGTCCAGGACTCCTGGTATTGAGTCAAGACTTATCTTGGTGTTTTTCGGTCGGTTCCGAGTCTTGGAAATTCTCCGGTCTTGGATAGCTCTAATAATTATGGATTATTTAAAATATTAATTATATCTATTTTATTGTTTTTAGAAGAAAAAAAATTAAAAATAAACTTTATAAGGTGTGTTAGAAAATTAATAGCTTTTTTTCGTATTTTCTGTTTTGGAATTTTTATAAGGATTTGATATTTTCAGTACGATTGAACTAATTAATCAATTTTCTTTTTCCTAATTATTATTATGGCTGTAGTATAGTATACCGGTGGAAAGGTTTCGATATGTGACTCATACCATTCGATTCATCTCGGCGAGCTGAGTCGAACGGTACCACTCTTTTTTTCCGGAGATGCCTGTGGACCGAGATATAGGTCCCCGAAAATCGAAAAACCATAGGGGGGAGTAAGCAAAATTTTGGGATGAAAAATTCGATTTTTCGAATGATAGCTCATTCGAAAGAGCTCTTCGAGCTGAGTCGAATGACACCAAAATTAACGAAATCCGACTTGATTGAACCGAGATATAGACCCCTAAATATCGAGGATCCAAAGGGGCGATTATTGGAATGAAAACTTTTTAAACAAATAATAGCTCATTCAAAAGAGCTCGACGAGCTGAGTCGAATGACATCAAAATTATCGCGATCTAACAAGTTTGGACAAAGTTATGATCGTTTATTTTAGCTCCTTACGTATGGCATCCGTGGAGTTTTTGCTGCTGTGGAAGAAGCTGGGCATTCCCACCACATTAATGATAGGAATAGGACCATGTTACGAGCCCAGACCCAGCGCCCGTAGACTCCCCGCGAGGCGCGTGCCGCAAAACCCCGCGCGAAGCGCGGGGTTTTGCACAAGCGCCTCGCCGACGCTCCATAGGTTTACGTTGACCATTTTGAACCTGCTTATCTTGGCTCTAAATCAAGATTTCGAGCTGATTTTGGTGTCATTCGACTCAGCTCGAAGAGCTCTTTCGAATGAGCTATCATTCGAAAAATCGAATTTTTCATCCCAAAATTTTGCTTACTCCCCCCTATGGTTTTTCGATTTTCGGGGACCTATATCTCGGTCCACAGGCATCTCCGGAAAAAAAGAGTGGTACCGTTCGACTCAGCTCTCCGAGACGAATCGAATGGTATGGGTCACATATCGAAACCTTTCCACCGGTATACTATACTATATCCATTATTATCAATGCTTTATAGAGGGATACTGATCCATTTAGATATTCGTTGTCCAAAAATATTTTTTTACGTTTGGACGGCCAAAATACATTTGAACTACGAGTTGGTAAAAAATGTCCCCAACAAATTTATCGATATTTCAAATAAATTTAAAATAAAACATTTTTAAAAATCAAATCAAAACCCCAAACAATTTTTAAATTGTCCCAATAATGATAATCTTTTAATTTCATCGACAAGAGAAAAAGTCTGACTTTTTGTTTTGTTAGCGTAAATTTTCCAAACATCCCAAAATAACCAAAAAATAACCCAAAAAAATTTTAAACTGAAAATATCTAAATATCTCTTTCAATTACATCTTTCAATCATTGTATCCTTTTCAGTATCTTCCCCATAACCTTCACGTCACTCACTTTTGTCTTCTTCTTCACTTTGTTTAGCATTATGTTCATTTATAATTGTAACACAATGATTGTAAATCTAAAATAAATAAAAATATTTTCAAAAAAATTTTTTTATAAGAACAAACATTAACAAACAATCCCAAACGCATATGAGGCACAGCACTCCCATCACCATCAGGTGAATAATATAAATCAAAAACATCTTCACTGAGATATTCTCTTTCATTTAAATTAACATTTTCATTAACAATTAAATTAATAAAATAATTATTTAAAATAAATTGTTCAAGTTTATTTTGTAAAATATTTGAATTAATTTTGTAATGGTAATAATAATAAAAAGGAATATTTGGGGTTGAATTTGTTGGATTTATGTCCATATTTTCTATTAAAGTAAAACATTCTTGACTTGTTAATTTAGCTTCTTCGGGCACTAAAAATTTATGTAAAAGTATTATTTAATAATTAAAAAATACATTCGAGTTGGCGATAATAAACACTCAAAAAAACTTCTATATGTGGATTATCTGTTGTTTCAACTAATTTGAATGGAGAGAAGATTGCTCTATATATAACATCCTCTTCTGATTCTGCCTCTTCTAAAGTCATAAGCATTTGATTCCGAGCTAATAATTAGTTTAAAAATATTAATAAATTTATTTTAAATTATTACAACGGTTTCTAAAAATTGGAAACCCTATATTTACTCTACAGCAACTCTATATTTACTTTACAATAAAGGATCTAATAAAACCGATATTTACTCTACAGCAAATGTCCAGTTGATGTCCTACCTGTCCTCAAATGGGATGCGGACTCTTCTATTTTCTTGCTTTTTTCCTCTAGGAGTAAAGCTCGCTCATTTTTCTCTTTCTGCTTGGAATAATTGAAGGGATATCTGAGGATTTAGTGGTATATCGATGGATTATTTAGAATGATATGTATTAGTGGTTTGCAGTGATTAAGGGGATTTGAATGGATATCGTAGGAATTTCTTAATCCACAACCAGTGATATCTCTTAAACCCCAAAAACGCAAGTCCCCCTCAAAACAACATCATCACAAATTCTTCGATATCTACGGTCCGATCACTAGTATTAATCTCTTACAAAATTTATTATTATTATATTTAAATTTAATTTTCTCGTTGTAAAAGCCAGTAAATTCAAGTTTATCCATCAAAAAGTTTGCTTTAAATTCGAAAATATCGTAAGCTTCCATGTATTTAAAAATTGCAATATTTTCCCTGCATTTTTTAAATATAATATTTAAAAAATATAAAATTAAAAGATTAATACTTTGGTTTAGAATTGTTTAAAAGAACTCGTTTAAACAATAATTCATCATAATATTTATTTTCATTATGATAAAGAATAAAAGATCTAATAAGACTTCTAGCAAAACCAAATAAATGCCATAAAATAAAAATATTTCTTTCAACTATTGTTATCTTTATGCATTCTTTGTAAACTTCTGTAATAGCTGAAGGACTGAAAATTAAAAATATTGCTAACAGTGATTGGAAATTTGAGATTTACTGGTTATTAAATATTAATTGTTATAAATACAATAGGTAAAAGGGAGAGAGACAATCGAGGAATTTTATATTAATGTTCGGAATGGCTCGGAATTTTTCCGTATTACTGATACCGAAATATCCATTACAAACTACTGAGTATTTATTGTGTTAGGAAGCCGGACAAAACTCCTTTCTAACAAAATACATTTCGAAAAATAAGTAAAAGTATTCCATATATCCAAAGTTAACTGTCTGTAAATTATTTTTTAATAATATTTTATTGGGAAGTATTTTTTCTGAATACCATGTTCTCTCTAATAAATGCCATTGCATTCTATTTTTCAATGAACTTCCAAAGTGGCATTTAATTAGAGAGAATACGGATGTAATATTCACCCAAAATTTTATATAGATTTAATAATTTAATTACGTTAAACTTTTAATATTATTTTTAGCAAATTTAATAATTTGTTCAATGTTTTTTTTGTCAAAAAATAGAGCATTCCAAGGTCGGAAAAAGTCTTTAAAACTATTTAAATTCTTTGAAACTCGGAACTCCTCAAATCTATTATGAATAAACATTTCCATATTTTCACGGTCTGCGTTGGATAAAGAATGAATTCTTGCCTCCTCAATTTTTTCCAGTAATTTGTTGTAGAAGGAGATAACCTTAATTAATTTTAATTTATTTTAAATATTTTTGTTGTATTTCTAAACATTTATGTTAGTTTCTATTTTGGTGACATTGGAAAGAAAAATAACACATTCTTCTCTCATTGAACATGCCACAGAAAAATTGAGTGAAATTGAGGCAGGAAGGAGCTGGCCATTTTTTACATAAGGCAGTCCGCAAAAAGGGGGTAGGGATAACGGAAAATTACCCATTTATGTAGCAGGAAACGTACATCACAATTCCCGAAAATCAAGAATTTATTTTTTATATTAGCACGTTCCCTATTCCTACATATATAAATTTTTCAAACTAATTTTCCTTTTTCAAGAAAATAATAATTTAAAATATTTTTTCTACCAAAAAATTATTTTTAAAAATATATTTATTTACCTTTTCAAGTTTTCCAAACAAATTTTTTAAAGATTTACTTTTTTCTAATTTATAATAAATATCCTCTATTATTTTCAACTCTTCCTGTTTTTTCTCCAAATCAGATTCAAATTCATTTTCAATTTTACTTTCCGCTTCAGTCTTCAATTCATTTACCAAAACCATTTTATACTCTTTAATTATTTCTAAAATACCCGAATTATAATTATTTATAATTATTTCCGCGTCAATTTTTATCAAAATTCGAATAAAAACAGACAATTCAAACAATGAAAATTTAATTTCTGGAAATTTTGAAATGAAAACTTTTTGAGGCGGGGCATGGAATGAAGGAATATTATGTGAAGTACTTCCAACAATTTCTTTTCCTTCTTTAAATATTATTTAAATTAAATTAAATATTAAATATATTTTCTTACTTGAAGATTTCATTCCTTTTGCTATTTTTTGTTGAAAAGGATTTAAATCAAAAAATAAAAGAAAAAATAAAAATAAAAAAATGTTCATAATTTAAATTAACGTTTTAAAATTAATTTTTATATTTTAGAGTGGAGCAAGTAAATTTTTAAATTGATTGAAGGGAGAGTGGAGAAGTAAGGAAGGGAGGGGGGGATTGCTATAAAAATTTTTAAGAAATTTTAATGACTTGGCAAGAAATAAATGGGCGTCTATAAGTAAAGAATTAAAGTTTGACCCTCTATTTTTAAAAATTAAAAAAAATTATTAAATGAAGTAGCAAATTTAAAATAATTAAAAGAAATTTAAAAATACGACAAAATTTAAATCAGAAATTCAAGAGCTTTCGAAAGAGCCCAAAATTAAAATTAAAAATCATCCATAAGGGGTTGAAAATATTTTTTTAAAGAGCCTTACCCCTGTTTTACGTTGATTTTCGGGGTGTCAGGATTTTGACTTTGGGTAAAGATATGAGCCTAATTTTTTTATTTTTTCATGAGATGCTGGAATTTTTATAGATTCTTCCTAATGTTGTGAAGCAATTTAATTTAATAGTTATGAAGAGAGCCTATAAAAAGTATTGTATTAAATTTTCTATTATTTATTCCATTTGTTAAATATATTTTTATTTCCATATATTTTATTATTTCTTATTCCTTTTTACATTTATCGCAGGTTGGCAGCAGAGCTGGGCGAGAATAAAATTTTGCCCTCAACAAAACAATAACGAAACTTTGACTTAATTTTGACATAAAATTTGTCAAAATTTTAATTTAAATTTTGAATCAGAAATCTTAAACTTTTAACAAAATTCCCTGTTCTATCTAATTCATATCTAATTATTATTTTTAAATATTTTTAGCTAGGGTTGCACCCCGAACGCTCGGGGGCGGGTATGTCGGGGTACGGGGTTTTTGAATTGTTTCGGGGCGGGGAACGGGGTCGGGGAGCAAAATTAGGCCGGGGACGGGGAACGGGGGTTTAAAGAAAAAAATTTTAAACAAAAAATGCTCTACAAATAAGTCGTTTTCTGTCTATTTTCGTTAATTTATTCAAAAATTAATGAAATAAGGTGGGATTAAATGGTTTTAATGATTTAAAGTCTATACATGTGAAGTTAAATAAATTCGGACGGATTAAGGAAGATTTGAGAAGATAAACTGATATATCTGGTGATATAAGAGGTTCGAATAATTAAGGGTAGTTCATGGAATATCAGTTATTTAGAAGGATATTGACGGATTAGGGATTTGAAGGGAATGAAGGGAGATCAGGGGATTTGTTCGGATATCAGGGTATATCTGAGGATTAATATCTCAATGTCGCTCCTAATCTCCCGTTCGATATCCTCAAATACTCGTGATTCATTCAAACCCACTTTAATTTACGCCTATTAGTCCTTCAAATCCTCTTAATCCTCTGATCTCATACAAATCCCTTGATACCTCTGATTCCATTCCACCGATCACCCTCTAATTTTACGCTTTCCAATGAGATGAAATGCTAATATCTCAGTATAGAATGTAAATTAGTTGTATTAATTTTAGATCCTCAGGCGAAAATTTTGAGAATTGTGTTAGATCATAAAGCCTGATTTTTTCCTTTATAGCGCCGCAGGCGAAAATTTTTTGATTTCAGAAACTAAACAAAAATATTTAGCTTGTTTTTTATGTTAGATAATATTTAAAAATAGAAATCTAACAACTAAACCACTCAACCACACGTCTCTTTGAAAAAAATATAAAGAGAATTTTGTTATTACATTCTTTTTCCTTTAAAAATAATAAGTATAAACTAAATTGGGAGGGAATTTTCTAAATTTTTCTCTCTAAATTCCTCTAAAAAATGGAATTTTATGGGGGTCTTACCCCCGACAACCCCGAAAGTTTTTCGGGTCGGGGGACGGGGTTTTTGAATTGTTTCGGGGCGGGGAACGGGGCGGGGAGAAGTCTGAAAAAATCGTTCGGGAGTGGGGACGGGGAACGGGGAACGGGGTCGGGGTGCAACACTATTTTTAGCTAACTAATTCCATCATTTTCATAAATTATTTTATAATAATTCATATGAAAATAGAAAGATTTTTGAAATTCCTTCATAAATAAATTTGCTTTGACTTCAAAATATCAAAAGCCTCAGCATAAGCAAACACGAAAATTTCTTCGCTCAAAATATCCAAATTATAGTGCATATTTATCTCTAATACTAATTAAAAATAATAATTATTAAAAATATTATTTATTTATTTAAAAATTTAAAAAAATAAAAAGGGCAAGCAATTATAAAACACAAAAAAGAAATGATTTATCGGCATTCTTTTTATCTGTAAAATTTTAAAAAGAAAAATATTTTTAAATTTAAATGCCAAAATCCATTTTACAATAATTAATTTTAAATTTTATATTTATTTAATTTTTCATTTTCCCTCACCTCTAAAACTCTATCATATTTATGTAGATATAGACATGTTAAATATTTTATTAAATAGCTCCTCCTCATTAATGATTGGCATAAAAGGTCAAGAAAATAAGAAGAAATCAACAACATCTTCATTTATTAAAAAATTTTTAAATTTAAATTACAAAGGATTATTTAAATATTAAGATAAAATTATTTTAAATTACTACATCAGTTGTGAAATTATTTAAAATTTTGTCTAAATTTTAGAAATGTTTATTCAACTATTATTAATTTTATTATTTATTTCAAATTCTTATGGGAGCTTTAAAGGCGAATCTTCCTCGTTCACAAAGTTTCTAGGTCAATTTTTTATTTATTTTGGTGGTTGACCCTATTATCATGGAGTCGAGCACAGCCCGAAGTACAAACGACTGTACTACTCCAACCCGGTTTATGGGGGTACTACTCCAACCCGATTATGGGTTATATTTATTTTCATTAATAATCTTTCTGCAAGTGCAGACACAACAAACACAAATATAAATAATCTTTTAATTTAATTTTTTAGAAGAAGCATCATCTTCTGAACCAAAAATTTTGAATCAAAAGTTTGACAAGCACAGGTAGAATTTTGTAAAAAAGAAATATTATATAAAGACGAAATATCGTCAAAAAAAGTGTTTATTAAATTTTAAACCCTGACTTGATCCAGATTTTCCGGATCCGTAGTAGATAAAAACCGGATTCTACGGATTTTAGTCCGTAAAATCCAGTCCTATTTAAAAAATTTCGAAATCCGGAAACATGATCTCGCATTTTTCAAACTTTGAACTCTAGTATTTATTATAAAATAATAATTTAGAAAAATTATTGTTTATAAGTAAAATTAAATATAGTAATTACCTAATTAAAATAGGTGCCCAAAAGTAGAGCAAGAGTTCGAAATTGACGAAGTGGTTGAAGTAAATAATTGGAACAAATTAACAGGCGGCACAGAATGGTTATTAGCAAAAATTGTAAAAATCGAAAATGGAGGTTATGAAGCTAAAATAATAAATAAGTTCACTTTTTGGCGCAAAGTTTTTTCGGTGTTCAAAAGATATACGAAAATATAGTAGTGCCAATGACACCTTCCAGATTGACGAAACTGTTGAATTAAAAAACTATAATGAATGGATTTTAGGGAAAATAGTAGGAAAAGAAGCGGGGAAGTATATAATTAGTGTTTTAAGTGGACATCGTTATGGCATGATTTTTAGGCGTTATTCGGAGGAATTAAGAGAGTATCATGATATTCCAAATGAAATGGAGCATCAAATTAGTGATCTTTTGGAAGAAGCATCATCTTCTGAACCAAAAAGTTTGAATCAGAAGAAAACTGAATTTGACAAGCACAGGCAGAATTTTGTAAATAAAAGATATTTACCAATATATAAAGACGAAATATGGTCTCCAACAGAGAATGATTTTAAATGGTATTTAATTAAATTAAAATCTTTCATAATAATTCAGGAAGGCGTAAATCATCTGTTTATTTACTCTTTTGTCTTTCCTTTCTCTGTTGATGTTGTGAGTCATCAGTAGGGTTGTACAAAATATGCACGAAAAATCGCCAAATATGCACATATGTCCGAAAAAGCTCAAAATATGCACCAAAATATGCAAAATTTCCTGAAATATGCACCAAATATGCAGCAAAAATAGTGAAAATGTTCTTTAAAAATCATTATTTTAAGTAAAAAACACTAATTTAGCCTTTAAAACTGAGCACTTCATAAAAATTTTATTAATTTAAAATCTCTGAAAAAAATTTTTTTGAAAAAATTTTTCCATAAAAATTTTTTGAGAAATTTTTTTCAAAGATTTTTACGAAAAAATTTTTTGCCAAAAAATACAAAATCTTGGAAATTTTGCCTAATTTTTACTAAATTTTATGGATCAAAATATGCAAAATTTGCCAAACCGAAATATGCAAAAATATGCATTAAGAACCGGGTCCTAAAGTTCTCGGACCAATGTAAAAACCATTTTTAAGCTTCTAACTTCAAGGCATATCCATACACAAAACATGCATTTGCATGTTTTGTCCAACCCTAGTCATCAGTCTAGAGTTTTTTAGGTTCAAAATACTGGTAATATATAGGGACCTAAATAGATTCATAAAATTTCGAAGTGTTAAAATAGGTAAGGATTCTAAGGATTTTAGGAAGGATAAAATAATCTCTAAGATAGAGAAAGATTTTATAAGACTATCCGACTAGATGATTTAGGGCTTTTTCTATGCATATATATGCGTATATTTGGCGAATTTCCGTGCATATTTTGGTGTATACTCTTTAGCAGCATGTATGTTAGTGATGCTCGGGAGAAGAAAAAACCCGGGAATCGGGAAACGGGAGTCGGGTCGGGAAATGACCTCGGGAGTCGGGAATTAGCAATAAAAAAATTTTCCAAAAATTCCAAAAATTTTTGGCGCCTTCGGCGCAAAAAATTCCGATTTTTTGCATCACAGGCAAAAATATTGAAAATTTTGGAAGTAAAGAAGCCTTCCTAGCGCCTTCCTAGCGCCGCAGTGAAACAGAGAAAAATATTTTTACGTTCAATTTTGGTGGAATTTTGGTGAACTAGCCACATATCTCATCATATCCCTCTATAGTATTAACACCCCCTGTACAACATTAATCATCCATTGATATCTCTCTTTATTACCGCAAATCCCTCGTTATCTCTTCAAATTCACCATAATCCTAGTAAATCACCGAAATCTTCTATACTACAACTCCACAGATTCTTCAATTTTGAGCGCCGCAGGCGAAAATTTTGAGGATTTTGGAAGATCCTTAAGCCAAAAATCTTCCCTTTTCAGCGCCGCAGGCGAAAATTTTGGGAATTTTAGAAGACAAAGAGGCTAGATTTCTTCATTTTTTATAAATGAAAATATAAGGTGACTGATCATTTCGTCAAAGATGAGTTCGTCAATGATTAGACCGTCAAAATCAGTTCGTCAATGACTTTCGTCAATGATTAGTCCGTCAATAAAATAGTGCCAAATTTAAATTGTTTCAGCTCGTCACTGCTAAGAACTTATTAAAAATATATTGTAAAATAGTAATTTTTAGAAAAATGCTAATTTTCAGCTAAATTAGTATCCTATCCCAATAAAAAATTGTCTCTGGTTTTGAAATATCAATTCTAGTCAACTAACAAGCCCCACGTTTAAACTTAACTTCAAGGAATTGAAATGGTTCAGTGTTTTCCATTTCGTTGGCAGAATTATTAGAATAATACATATTCACCATCAGTGGAAAACATGATTAAAATTATTATTAGATTGATGAATTTTGGGGCTAAATGAGCTGTTACATATTTACGTCTATCATCTTCTTAGATCATTCTTTTCAAAAAATATATTTTCTTTTACCTTTTCATATTATTTTACAACCGAATATTAATAAAAGTTTTTACTTAAGTTAACAAATGTAAACTAACAATTGAGTTACTATTCCTTTGAAATTGGGAGGAATATTTATTCCAATTCGTTGACGAACTGAAACAATTTAAATTTGGCACTATTTTATTGACGGACTAATCATTGACGAAAGTCATTGACGAACTGATTTTGTCGGACTAATCATTGACGAACTCATCATTGACGAACTAATAGGGAACCAAATATAATTTTGTCACAAAAATCCATTCTTAGGGGTGTAAAAATTTCCCGACATAGTCGGGAATTGACACCGGGAGTCGGGGTCGGGATCGGGAGGCCAAAAACTCGGGAAATTTCCCGAGTCGGGTGTCGGGAGTCGGGATACCCGAGCATCACTAATGTATGTTACTCAACCCATGTGTATAACTTTTTAGGAGAAATGAAAAACAAAGGAGAAGAAAAATAATGGGCAGATAACAGTACCTAATCTCGTGTTAGAAAAATAAAAACTAATAAAAAAATAAAATAATCAAATCAAAATAGGTGCCCAAAAGGAGAACAAGAGATTCAAATTGGCGAAATAGTTGAAGTAAGGAATTGGAACAGAATTAAAGGCGGCATAGAATGGTTATTGGCAAAAATTGTAGAAATCGAAAATGGAAAGTATAAAGTTCAAATAATAGATAGTCCACTTTTTGGGTCAATGTTTATTCGGTCTTCAAATGAAATAAGAAAATATAGTAGTGCTAATGACAACTATAAAATTAACGAAATTGTTGAGGCGAAAAACGACAAAAGAACAGGAGAAACTAATTGGATTAAAGCAAAAATATTAGAAATTAATCAGGGAAATAAGTATACTTTAGAAGTTGTAGGGAAATGTAAATTGATTGGAGGTATAATTAATAGAAATATTTATAGTATGAGGAAATTTAAAATTGAAAATTTTCAAGTCGGTGAACAAGTTGAAGTATGTATTTATGATAATATTGATGACAAAACTGAATGGGTAAAGGCTGAAATATTAGAAAAACAAAATGGAATTTATATTTTGGGGACTGGAATATATATATTAGAAGAATATCCATATAATATAAGAAAAATTACATCTGGATAAAGAGAAAGAGAGGATCTAAGATTTTTATAATCTAACATTTGTAGTAAAAGAAATTTATGAAAGAATCACAATTTATTGAAAAAACAATTTTCTTTAGCTTATTTTATATATGTGAAAAGTTCGGTTCTAAAGAAGACTAAAAAAGACTTAACGTTCAGTCTTTTTTAGAACAAAAAGATTACCAAAAAGCTTGTGATATAAAATCAAAATTCACCTTTCTCTTTTTTATTAATTTTATTTTAATTAATAATTAATAAATTAATAATTAATAATTATAAATTTAACTGTATTTTTTACAGTATTCCTCCTCCATCCATCCCTGTTATTTCCATCAATGTTATTTTTATTTCAAGTATTTAATTTACCGTAAATCTTCTAATAAAAGCACACCTCTATTAGAAGCACACCTCTAATATAAGCACACTCTACGAGAGGATCGAAAAATAAAAGCACAGTCTCTAATTGAAGCACAGTCCCTAATACAAGCACACCTCCTTGTATGCCGCTAAAAAAGCACATCCTCATTTTTATCGTTTACATTAGTGTTCGACATTTAAAAAATGCCAGATTCGGTACCCAGATTTTAAATGTTATAATCGGGACTGGATTTTCCGAATCAAAATCCGATCCAGATTTTCAGACAGAGTATCCGGATCTGGATTTGCAAAAAAATTCTTTATAAAAATTTCGCAACAAGTATGCGAATTAGTGTAAAATTGGGAAATATCGGATTAACAAACGTGAATTAAAGGGTTGTATAAGGTCATCAAGAGGGATATCGTTGGGTTGATTTGGGGTTGTATCAAAGGATATGAGAGGATTTAAGGGTTCGGCTGTGGTCCAATGAAGGTTTGTGCGTCCAATGAAAATTTAGGAATACAAGTGGTATAAGATTTTCTGGGCTCCATGAGATCAGAGCTTGTTCCTTTCAGCATGGCATCCGAAAATTATGAAAATTTTCGAAGTAAAAAAATTATGAAGCTGGTTGGTTAGAAAAATTTCATGAAAATCTATGAATTCAATTGAAATTTAATTTTTGTTTTGTTTTATGCGGGGTAAAAATTTACTTTAAAAGTTTTAAAAATCGATCGAAAAATACAAGCACAGTCCCCAATTGAAGCACAGTCTCTAATATAAGCACACCCTACGAGGGGATCGAAAAATAGAAGCACTGTGCTTCTATTAGAAGATTTACGGTATATTTTGTTTATTTAATTATTTTGTATTATTTCATTAAATTACTAGTAGTTAATAAATATATGTATTTTAAAAATTTTTTAATTAAAAAAATTACACAAATATAAAAATATCCAAGGACAATTCCTTCAATTCTTTAAAGTCTTTGAATTGCTGTTTAATGTAAAGAAAACTCTGTTATAAATACTAATTTCTTTTAAAAAATTAAAATTAATTTAATTTAAAATTAAAAGTCAAAAGACATTTAAATTTTAATATTATATAAAAATTTTGGAAACGATTCTAAAATAATAATTTGAATAATTTTGTTTAACAAAAATTGTTGCTCTCTTAAGTTTTGCCAGAATAATAACTTTTTTCTTCATTTTTTTACATTTAAATCTATAAATAAATAAATAATATTTTAAATTAGATACCGAGCTGGGAATGACGTACGAGTATCAAGATTTAATATAAAGATTCTAAATAAAAATTTTTTAAAATTTTAAATAAAATTAAAATAAATTAATATAAATTAATTAAATTAATAAAATAAATTAATTCTATATAAAAATTCTAAATAAAAATCCTCGATCTCGATAACCGAGATTTTCGATCGAGATCTCGTCTCGGTCCGGTCTTTAATTTAAATTATTCATGTGATAATCGAATGTACATATGTATGTACTCTTAAAGGGTAAATGTCGGGCAATCAAATAAAAAGAATTGCCAAAATAGTAAGTGCAATTTTGTGTTTTGACTTTTAAATACCTTTAATTAAAAACAAAAATATATTTTCGGAAAAATCAAAGTAAAATTAAAAAGTCCATTTATATTTGCTGGTAAATATAAAGAGAAATAAAATAAATTGAGTAAAAGGTTAATTTTTTAAGCTAAAAATTAAAATCTGACAGTCTAGACATTTAAAAGAAAATACAGAAAATTCTGTTTTTAAAAGGGAAATTTTTTTAATAATTTTATTCACTTGTTTTGTATTTTTTTAAATTTTATTAAATGAAATCTTTAATTTTGTTTTTGTTTTCTTTTAATTTTGTTTACGGAATGGATAAAGGGGATAAAGGTATAAATAATTAATTAAAAAAATAAAAATAAATATATTAAGGCAAAGGTATTTTAAAAGAAGGAAGTCCACCTTCATTCCAAAATGTTTATAAACCCCAAACTTTTTATAATGACCCTAATTTGGAAGACGAAGGATATGCTCCTGACAATAAACGTGTTAGAAAATTTTGTTTAACAGAACTGTCTGTTTTAATTCAAATTTTGAAGGAAATTTCTATTGAAAATTTGGATAAACCGGACAAAGAATTAATTGATATATTAAAAAGTTTTACAAATTTAATTTTTGATCATTTTTTTGGAAATGAATTTTATAAAAATTTGGGTGAAGTTAGTTTTGAAAAATTTTTTTAAATTCAACTAAACAAAATTTTAATTTAATTATTTTAATAATGAGAGTTTTTGTGAACAATAAAATCATTAATAAATTAAGTAAAAATTATTTATTCTTGTACATAACATATTACTAATAGGAATTTAAATTTTAAATTTAAAATAAAATATAAATTAAGATTATTGACAATTATAAATATATTTACGAGCAATTGGAACATTATCCATTTGAAAATAAATATAAAAATATTTTCATTATTTGGCATTTATTTGCAATTACTCGAAAAGTTATTCGAAACTTTGCTTTGTTTCATAATTCTGATAATTACTACAAAAAAGAATTAGGAAAGTATAACGATGAAAGAAACGTTTTGTTAGTAAATATTTTTTGAATATTTTTTAAAAAATTCTTTTAGCGAAGAAATTTCCATGTTTGGTTATGCTGAGGCTTATGATATTTTTGAAGTCAAAGCAAATTTGTTTATGAAAGAATTTAGAAATTCACGCTATTTTTACATGCATTTTGGAACAATAATTTATGAAGATGATGGAATTGGTTAGCTAAAAATATTTAAAAATAATAATTAAATATGAAGAACAGAAAATTTTGTTTAAAGTCTAAATTTTCTGATTCAAGATTTAAATTAAAATTTTGTCAAATTTTATTCCAAAATTAATCAAGATTTGGACTTAAAATTATTTTGACAGATTTTAAAAAATCAAATCTGGTCAAAAATAAATATTGCTCTTTTCGTATTTAATTAATTGTTAGAGTTGCAGGGAAGTTATATATACTATTAACATTCTTAGAAAAAATTGTATTTAAATCGAGAAATATATAAAGTTAGGGGTATTTAAATCTGAGATTTTAATGTAAATTAATTTTATTTAGCACTTTTCAATTTATCACTTCAAGCCGCAGAAATGTCAAAAAACATAATATGCAATGCTGAATTTGAGCCTTATAAGGAAATTGAACGCCATCCTCAAATGGAACACTTTTGGCCTTTAATTTATAAAAACAAAATTGGTAAAAAATTTAGATTTTTCCCATAATGGATCCGTATTGAGTGCCTTGAATATAGACTTTTGTTCTGTGCATTTTTATTTCATTGTGGGAAGGACAAAACTCTAGGCACTCAACACAAATGTTATTGTGGGAGGCATTTTAAAAATTTTATTTTCATTTTAAAATTTCCAGTTCACAACACTGAATTGGTTTTAAATGAATGTAAAAAGATTACAATAGAAACATTAGACCCAAATTCACTTGAGCCAGAAATCCCTTTTTATGTTTTCTTTTACAAATTGAAGAAGGAAACAAAGGATAAATTACAACAGGCAATAATAAATAAATATTTTACTGATAAATTTGTTAATGAATTTGTTAATGAAAAAAAGCCTGAATATATTGATGAAAATTGTATTGAATTAATTCCAATGTCGAAAAAGTTATTGGCCCCTCCACAGACCCATTTAAAACTTGTTGAAGAAGTAAAATTTTAAAATAACTTTTAAATACTTTTGGGTTGTTGGGGTATGCAGACTGTGGATTGCGTGAAATTGCGTGTTTTGGACTTACGGATTGCGGCCGCAGAAAATTTTTTTCAGTTGTGTTTAGCCCTGATGCAGATATTTTTTTCCTTTTGCATTTTAGGCTTTAGAAATTAGTTTTGAAAAAATTGTATATTTAAATATAATTAATTAAACAAATAAAATTATTTTTAGAAAATATTTCTTAACAAATCGAATTTTTAAGAAATATTTTATAAATTAAAACATCAGCATTTTAACCAAAAAAAGAACTAATTTTCACTCAATTTTACTTTTATGTAGTTAATATCTTCAAGTCTTAAGAAGCGGAAAGACTTGAAGCAAAAATATAAATTCCTTTAATTTCTTATAAGATGAGGATGTTTTTAATATTTTAAATTTTAAATTTAAAAAAAACTTTCAAATTTAAGATATACAATAAATGCCCATTACATATATATAAAGACAGGAATACTTTATTACAAATACGAAATGCCTTAAAGAAAAAACTTCAAGGTGGAGGGAGTCATTGAAAAAAAGGAAGGAATAATTAAAAAAAAGAGAGATTAAATAAAGTATTTTAGAATCTTTTCTATTCTTCATTCTTTGTTAAAATTTAAATTGAAAATTAGTACCTATTATTATATTAAAATACAAGTAATTTTTAATAATTTTTATTTATTTCGTCTAGCTATTATTTTTGTTTTTCTTTTTTCTTATTTCGGAAATAAAAACTTTTATTTTAAAGTCAAAAGTTTAAACCAGCATAGCTAAATGTACATATATTCTAAACCAGAACAATTTATCTGTCTATAAAGTCACACTTGGGTTTTAAATAAATAACCGTAATTTTAGATAACTTTAAGATACAATTTCTA